CCCCCCCCCCCCCCCCCCCCCCCCCCCCCCCCCCCCCCCCCCCCCCCCGCGGCCTTGGAAGAGCAGCGACCCTGTCACCTTCCTGCTTAAACCCCCACAACAGTCACAATAGAAAACAATCCCATTCGTGACAGCTACATAAAATGTAAATACATGGTCACAAACTTAAGAAAGGTGCAGGACCTCTCTGGAGAAAACTCCAACACCCTACTGTGGGGCAGCAGACAAGGTTAATAAATGTGGAGACATACCTACTCCTGGATGGGAAGACGCAGTAGTGTGAAGCTGTCAGTTCTCCAAGCAAAAGAAACTATTATAAAATTCCAGGAGGTCAGGATTTAAAATTTTATTTTATTATTATTTTTTTATTGAAACATAGTCGACAGGGGCGCCTGGGTGGCTCAGTCAGTTAAGCGTCTGCCTTCTGCTCAGGTCATGATCCCAGAGTCCTGGGATCAAGCCCGCATCAGGCTCCCTGCTCAGTGGGAAGTCTGCTTGTCCCTCCCCCAATGCTGGTGCTCTCTTTCTCTCTCTCTCTCTCAAATAAATAAATAAAATCTTTCCAAAAATATATAGTTGACATAGAAGTTAGGATTTTTTTTAAATCGGTGTTTTGACTGAATTATTGAAAATTTTTCTGTTAAAATGAATTTATAAGAACATCCTGGATAAAACAAAAAAGTATGTCAAGGAAGAAGACTAAGAAGGGTTTTCTTCACCCACTTTATTTTTTTCTTCCCCCATTTTAAAATGGGTTATAAATGTACACAGATTAATGTGGTTCTGGCACCAGAAGAGATAGATAGGAAAAAATGGAACACAATGAAAAGTTAGAAACAGATGCAAGTACATAAAATACTCTCACATGTAAGAAAATCTTTTAAAGGTGAAACAAGAAAGAAGAAAATCTTTGGGGGAAGAATGAACTGTCAGTAAATGGTGTCAGGAAACTTTACTCACCGTTTGGTGGAAAACAAGTTGCTACCGTCCAGCACAAGGGCAGGGTAAGACCCATGGGTTTAGCCAGTCAAGAAACTAGAAGCCCTTTTTAGATGCAGAAGGTTCAGTACTTAGGCAGAGAAAGGAATAACCAAAGGTGCTAGGTCCCTGTGGCCCTTGAGCAGAGTGACCCTGAAACCACGTGGGCACTAATCACAGGACACGTGGCACAGAGGATCCCGTGTCAGGGGGCAGCGAAGCTTCATAGCTTCCTGCTTGTACCCCAAGGGAGGGAGGCAGAAAGCCTCAAACCTCATCAGAACCAGGAGGTCGTGGGAAGCTGTCTCTGACAGAATCCTTGGGAGCCAGTGAAGCCAGGAGCAGCTCCTCTCAAGTCCCCCATTTTCCCACATTCCTGGAAGATCCCAAGACGTTCTGCCAAGGTTCTCATCGGCTGCGTTCAAGTCCTGTTGGCCTGCGCAGGTGCATCGCGAAGTCCCGGGTGCCCACACAGAGCTGTTCCCCGACAGCACCCCCGCAACGAGTCCTCCGGGGGCAATTCCCTATGGTTTAAAGGTTTAAAGGAAATGAACAAACAAATGTACTAGAGAAAACCATAGGCAAATGTGTGTTTAATTCTGAGCTGAGGGGCGCCTGGGTGGCTCAGTCGGTTAAGCATCTGCCTTCGGCTCAGATCATGATCCCCTGGGATCGAGTCCCGCATTGGGCTCCCTGCTCATCGGAAAGCCGGCTTCTCCCCACTCCCCCTGCTTGTGTTCCCTCTCTCGCTGTGTCTCTCTCTGTCAAATAAATAAATAAAATCTTTAAAAAAAAAATTCTGAGCTGAGATGAACTTTCTTTTTTCTTTTATTTTTTTTAAGAGAGAACACACA